TCACTTTCAAGAGAGTAGACACTTGTTTTGGTGCTGGGAAACACAATACTGAATAAGGGTTAAGTGAGCACAACTTGATACAAGAGAAAAGGAGGATTCCGTAAATGCTGAGACATACAGGAGCTCTGGTGGTGAGGGGGTTAAGTGCTCAACTGCTAAGCCGCAAGCCATCCTCAGGGAGAAAGATGTGGCAGCCTCCTTTCTATAAAGAGAGGCAGTACCACTCTGTCCTAGAGGGTCACTATAAGTTGAAGTCAATTCAACGGCAATGGTTACTTTTTTTCTTAAATGCTAAGTACAACTCTGCAACAATAACTGAAATCATGTGTATGGTTTACAGACAGATGAGTCAACAAGTATTGCTATAAAATCAAAGGGGTCATTGTTAAACAAAAACATCAAAACGTGAAGCTACTGTTTCTTGACCTGTCTTCCGTCTGAGCCTGTACACCTCTGAAGTTGTTTCTCTCTTTCTAACCCTTCTCAGAAGAATTCTGCGTTCTTAGTTGGATGTCACGTCAGAAGGCAATGTTGGTATCCTCGAAGGACTCAAATCATATTCTTCTGAAATCGTCTTTGCATTTGGGGAAGCAAAAAAAGTCGAAGGAGCAAGATCAGGGCTGAGGGTGGATGGGGTAAGATTTCCCAACAAAACTCTCAGAGCACAGTCCTGGCTACCCTTGACAACTGAGTAAATGCATTAGCATGATGGGGAAAATCCTCAGTACACTTTTCTGGCCTTTCTCTCACCAAAGTTAGTTTTCAATTTTTGTATACCATCTTCAGAATAAGCCTCCGTGATCACCTGTGCCCAGGAGAAAATCTAGCAAGCATTACCCTTCGGAGTCCAAAAACCTCTCAGCATAACCTTCTGAGCTGCCACTGTTTTGATTGAACCTTGCTCTCTGGATCATTATCAGTAAGTCCAAGACTCATGCCTGGGTATGATTCATTCCATAAAATTGTCATTAGCGGCAATCTTGCTTAAAAGATACAAAAATCAGCTCTTTGAGCTAGCTACTGTTTCTCCGAAAATAAGACAGTGTCTTATATTAATTTTTGCTCCCAAAGATGTGCTAGGTCTTATTTTCAGGGGATGTCTTATTTTTCCATGAAGAAGAATATGATACACATTCATTGTTTATTGTTTTATTAAAAGAGACCTCGCACTTCCTGTCTGCTCCGGCTGTGCTGTGGCCAACAGTAAGCTGTGTGGCAGGGCCCGCCACTACGGTCCAGAGTCACAGTAGCTTCGGGAGGCCTTATTTTCGGGGAGGTTTTATTTTCGGGGGGTGCCTTATACTTCAGTGAGAGGCAAAACTGTAAGTAGGTCTTATTTTGGGGGGATGTCTTACTTTTGGGGAAACAGGGTAACTTGTGTTCAACACTTGAGGGTTTTTTTGTTGAGTGGTTTTTTTTTGGAGGCCTCCTAGCAAGACTAAGACAAGTCTGTTCTTGAGGGAATTTGTCTGCAGTCATCCACTGACGGTGGAATCATGTTTAAACGTGTTTTCTTTGGAATAAACCCAGGGAAGGGTGACCTAGAACCCTAGTAGCAATTCGTCTTGATCTACCTAAGTGTATAGGAAGGCACATATAAACATATGGGTGTGGGGGGGGCTGCACATATACCTATAGAGTGGGGCAAAGTCCATCCAGCTACTCGCCAGACATAACCAAGCACCTAGTGGGACTGATTACTGGGTATGGAGGCTTAGCACCTCACTGTGGATGGCCCTGGAGGACACTATGCCGTGTGCAATAAGCCAGTCACAAAAGGGCCAAGTACTGTAGCGGGTTTTTTCTCTGTGTAGCAGCTAATATCATGAAAGCAGTGTTTCCCAGCAGTTACCCAGGATATGTGAGAGGTGGGGGGCATCACTCTCTAGCTAGTAGACACTTGTTCTTTTGTGGGAGATGGGGAATGTAAGGCCAAATACGGGTGCAGTGTACACAGCTGTCTAAGGTGAACGAGGCCACTAAGGAGGTAGGGAAGAAGATGGCTATTTTGGTAAATGCTAGGGCATAGTCAACGGTGCAACCAAGAAGTAAGTTAAAGGAGTGTAGCACATGTATGCACGTGTATCTGTATGTCGCTACTGCTAAGTGCAATTGAGTCAGTCCTGACTCTCGGAGCCCCATGCACAACAGCAACACATCGGTATGTATACATGTGTGCAGAGGAGGGAAAGTCAGAGAGGGCTGCCTATTAAGAAGGAATTTTAAGAAAATGGAGAACTTCCAAGAAAAATGTCAGCAAAGTTGGGCTGAGGAGTTTTTCCCCCATAATGACAATGTACTTGCTCAGTCTTCAAGGGTAGCAAGGACTGTCCTGTGAGAACTTTGTTGGGAACCTTGACCCACCCAGCCTCTAGCCCTATCTTCACCGCTTCAGACTTTCAAGAGAGCAGACTTCTGTGGAGGGATAGAGAGGTGGAGGCGCCATTCAGGGATGGGTAGCCCTGGATCAAACAGGCTTTGTTTACTGTCTCCTACTTGGAAAATAAATACATAAACTGCTTAGCATTCGCCTGGCAATTAAAAGCGTTTGGCTGATCCAACTGGAGCTATCTGTGCTTGCAGAGAAGTCCCAGCCCACCCCTGCTGGGGGTGGGGTGGGTGCTGTCCTCTACTGGGGGAAACACTGACTTATGACTTACATGGATGACAACAGCGTCCCGTGTTGATATTTTTGTTTCATAAAGGTTTCTCCAATTTTGTAGTATTACTCTTTGACTTACTTTCATAATCCTCAAGGGTGTTAGGGCAGAAACATGTTGCCAACCAACAATGTAGACCTCCTGCACCCTCCCCTCACCAGGAGGACACCCACTTGAAGATTCCGGTGAGTGAGAGCAGAGGGGCTGGGCAGGCCTAGTGGCAGACTCTTCGCGACACTAGCTCAGTCCCCAAAGGAACCTGCCTCGAGCCCCAGGCTGGAGCGAGAGGGACAGGCGCTTGAAGCTCGAAGGGGGATGAACGGCAGCGCCGGCTGTGTCACCCCACACCGCTGCCATCCTGCAACTGCTGGGACTGTCTGTGTTTAGGACCTGGTTAAACAAGACTAGAAGGGGAGAGGCGGCGAGAAAGGGAGAGAAGACGCTGCCAGATCAAAAGGCCTTGCAATGGGTGGGAGCAGTCCAGAGTGCCAGTCCACACCATCTCCCCTGAGGAGCATACCCCACGCTCCACAGTGAGGAGAGGGTGTGAGCAGTTGTGCGTGACCACCTGTAGGTGTGCGTGTTTGCAGCCTGCGCTCATGCAGACTCACCTGGGCAGTCAGCTTCGTCGCTCTCATCCGCACACGTAGGCTTGCCGTCGCACTGCCAGGGGAGGGGGATGCACTGGATGGCGCCACTGCGACAGGCAAACTGCCCAGGGTTGCACTGCAGCTCTGTGGAACCAAAGGGCAAGAGGCTATTGAAGGAGAGACAGCAGGAGCTCACCACCAAGGGTCCTGAGATTCAGGGCAGAGGGGCCAGCAGCATAGTTGCAGACCCCTCCTCAAGGAGGACCTGGATACTCAGTCAGAGAAAGAGAGAGAGAGAGAGAGAGAGAGAGAGAGAGCGAGAGCGCGAGCCAAGAGCCAGATGACGCCAAGATAAGTCAGAAGAGAAACCACTGAGATTGTCACTTTACAGGCCATGCGCAGCACAGCACTGGTGGGGGGGACACGAGAGGGCACATGCTTCCTTCAGCAAAAGGCAGCAAGCGACCTTCACACAGCACCCAAAAACCTGAAGGAAGGTGAAACACGCTCCCACGGAGGGGCTATAGTGCTTCTCTGAAAGGCGGGCAGCTGGATAGATACGGGAGAGGGTACACAGCGTATTGAGAAAGAACACTCAAAGAAGCAGGGCCTCAGGCATTATCGCAGTCAGGTGGTCAAGGGGACCAGTAGTCAAACAACAACGTATGAGGGGGTTCACAGAGTTCGTGGGGGTGCAATAAATGGAATCTAAGGAGAGTGGAATTTCGGGGAAGCCCCCTGGTGTGAGTGGAGTGGCGGAAAGGACAAGGAGGTCATTTTGCAGACACTGCGTGGGTGAGCTAAGTCTGTCAGTCAAGAAGCAGCATGCAGAAAGTGGTAAAATCGGCCCTCGGTAATTATGCTACATAACGCCAGCAAAACACAGCCTGAACACTGGCAGAGGCCGAACACTGCCATCAGCGAGCCAAATCCTGTGTGCTCACCTGCCTTTGGAAATAGTCAGTGCCCACCAATGTGCACGGTCTGTGGTTGCTTTCAGCTCCAACAGCAGAGCTAAACAGAGACCAAGTGGCCCCTGAAGCCGCACTTACTTACTGCCTGGTCCACTCAGAGAAAGGGCAGACCTGAGCAGAGAACAAGCTGCTGTCTGGCCACCACTGACGGGGCTCAATAGGTAGCCCCCGAGTCAACTGTGGACAAACGTAGACTCAAACCCCGAATTCTTACACAGCACAAACTTCCTGGATGGTCGAGACTAGAGCAATCCCCAAGACTATCACCCCGAGAAAGCGGTAACTCCGAGCTAAAACCAGGTCATCTACCATCTAAGAAACAGACACATGGTATATGCAATATTACCAATGAGTGTACTTCTTAAAAATGAATAAGCAAATTACATCTATATGAGGTCAAACAGCCAATGCTTACTCTGAAGGCAGAGGTGAGAGATAACTGTGTGTGTGTGTGTAACTGGATTAATGCAAACAAGGATGAATGTGGAAATAGCGAAAATGCTGGCACATCATGAAAAATATAAATTGCTGTCACTGAACAAGGTGTCTAAGCACACTGACTGCTGAGTCAATTCCAACTCAGGGTGACCCTACAGGACAGAGTAGAACTGCCCCATAGGAGCGCCACGGCTGTCAATCTCTATAGAAACCGACAGCCTCGTCTTATTCCCAAAGAGGGGTTCACGGAGTCACACTGCTGACCTTGTAGTAAGCAGCCTCACTCATAACCCACCAAGCCGCCATACAAACAAACAACCCAAACACATCGTCATCAAGTTGATTCCAACACAGAGCAACTCTTACAGGACAGAGTAGAGTGGCCCCTGGGGTTTCCAAGGCTGTAAATCTCTATGGCAGCACAAAGCCTCATTTTTCTCCCGTGGAGCAGCCTTGTTCCTGAGCCACTCTGCCACAGGGACTCCATCATAACTGAAACAGTTCACACAAAACAGAGGGCTGCCTGTTAAATGGGCCTTTAAGGGGGAAGAGTTACCTTCTGCCCTCAAGGTCAGAGTTTGGTGAAGAGCTTGGCCCACCACTGGTTCTAACACGGAGCCCACATGGCACTGCTATTGGCTGGGACTTGAGCCAAGCCTGAGAGATGGAAGGAATCTGACTGAGAGGCTGTCTGGCAGGCCCAATGGCCAAGGGCTTGAGCCAGGGCAGCCATGCAGGGAGGGGCAGCACATGCTGGCAAGGAGAACCCAACTCAGGTGAGGGCCCAGCAGAGGAGGAGACCCAACAGTACCAGAGGCCCAATGGTTCAGGAGTGGATACTGTGGACGAGGGAAGGACACTGAGGCACCTCAGTGGGCACCAGGACACAGAACAGGGCAGGAGGACGACAGGCACGACCAGGAGGGAAAAACAAGCACTTGTGGGCATTCCCAACAATCTATGTAATGCTCTTCAGGATTTCACTGTGAGTTCAAGTCCATTCTGACTCATGGCAACCCTACAGGCCAGGGTGGAACTGCCCTTGTGAGCTTCTGACACAGCAAC